AAAAAATGACCTTTCCTGTCACTTCTGCCTGCATCCCCTCAGCATTTTCTCATCTGAGTGGTGATAAATGAATAGGGATGGTGAAGGATGTTGATTTAGCATGGTTTCTCACAGCAAGACTGCCCTTTTTTCCTCTCTATGGTCATCCTGGGCAGCAGCACATCTGGGTGCATTTTTTTGGAACTTGGTTTAGTTTTTGCTGTCTGGAGTTTGTGTACATACCAAACACAGAGCTGAGCTGTGTATGGAGCCTGAGGTGTGAACATGGGGCAGGAAAACTGTTTTCAAGCTGAGCTTAGGCTTCTGAATGTTGTTAAATACTCTTGTCTTTGTAAGGCTCTGAAATAGAGCTTTTTGTCAGCCAGAGAACCGTGAAACCTCTTCCCAGCCAGCCCACCCTCTGGGCTCCACTTCTTTGTAGAGAACCTGCAAGGGAAAGGGTATATCAGGGGATGGTGATATCTCTCCTCATCATACTTGAGTTGCTCAGATAGTTTTGAGCAGTGCATCCTCCAAATGCTCTTCAGAGAGATAATGTATGAGAAAATACAAGGCTGTGAAGGTGTCTCTTCTTGTTTCATTGCTGCTCTTGTATTGCCAGACCTGAGAGGTTGTTGTAGTGAGTTCTCAAAACCAGAGAAGTTACTATATGGGATAAAGGAATAGCTTTACCATCAGTGCGTGCATTTTTACAGCTGTGCTCCAGGACCTGCCTTCAGATCTTGCTCTTTCCACTGCCCAACTTTTGTGTATTCTTCGCGTAAACTTCTCCAGACAAATGTTGAGAGACCATTTACTGAAAAGACCCATATTCAGGAGTCAGAGCACTGCAAAGCAAAGCTGTGTTCTTTGCCAGTGAGAACAGACGTGAGGCGAGGCATGAAGAAACAGTATTGATTGGGGATTTGTTTTACATTGAGAGTCCTTGATATAAGAGAGCAACTTGGTTTGGGAAAGGGAGTGATGACCGATGCATTACTTCACAGCCTTCTTATCTGCCTACAGGATCTTGTCTTGCTTTTGGGCTGCAGGAGATTGCTTTGTGAGCTTTTCCACTTCAAGTACGGTATTTGGTGAGCAGAGGAGTAGCAGGGGGGTGCTGTAGGCTGGTCCTTTTTTTGTCATCGTCAAAACTATGTAAGGAAACAAGTAGATGGCACTGGGAAGGAACTTCAAGCTAGAATGGCATGTTTCAGGAGACTCCTGTTGTCCCCTGGTGCTCACTTAATAGGCATAATGAGTAGATCTACAGATCTTGTATATGCAAACATACAATGGTAATGAGTATTTTTGATTTTGTTTGGAAATACTTAGGTTCTTCTATTTACAGACCCTATAAAAATGAATACTATTGTGGCAGACTGATGTTTCGTATTACCTGGGCCAAGAGTATGTTTGCCCCATTGCTGTGGGGGGAGGCACAGTGCCCCCTCCATCTGGAGTGGAGGGACCCAGGAGGTGTTGGGGAGTAGGTGGGGCAGCCTGGCATTGTGGTATCAGGACACAGCAAGTGGCTCTGCGTAGAAGACTGGTGTATAGAGAGTGTAGGCTCCAGGATGAAGGTTGGATTTAAGTAGGAAGCCTGTTGGGAAGGGCTATGGGTCAGGTCCCTAATGTTTTCCCAACCTGTACCTGAAAGTGTAGAAATTACTGCTCCCTTTAAAGTTGTGATAGACACATAGATAATAGGATATGCTTACATAGGTAAGCATGTACCTCTGTCCCTATTGACATGTCATAGGTGAGGGTCATGATTGCTGAACAGCTGAAATTACAGCGTTTAGGGCTGCTTATGGGAAAAAGGAAGAAAACTTCTGCTACGGACTAGAAAGATGTATGTCTTGTCTATATATATTGTGAAATAATGTTGCTGCACACCATAAGGTTTTTCAGTGACATTTTAAGGAATTTCTGTTTGTCCTACTGTCACTTTTAACCATGTCCAGATATTCGGAAGATTTGACCCCAATAATTGCACGGTTGCAGGGACTCAGGCCTGTTCTGGCATCATTACTGATAACAAAGAGCACTTTCTTCCTTGTGGGATCACCCTGAAACTGATGGTAGCGATTAAGGAGCAGACTATTTCTCACTGGGAGTAGAATGATGAAAGCTCTGCCTGTGTAGCTTTTTTTTGTTGTGTTGAGTTTTTCTGGCCACAATTCACAGTGTCTTGTGAACGGACTCGCTATTGATGCAGTGCTGTAGTTAACAAGCAGTGCCACTTTCAGTTACCTACACAGCAGGTCATAATGTAGCTGTTTTGGCATTTGCAGCACTGGCTGATCTTAGCTGAACTCCAGCACATATGTATGTTTGTCATTGCTTCAGTCGCTATGTTTTTCGTGAGATCCACAAAAATGTATCAGTGCATCTCTATTTTGTTTGTTCTTTTTATCTTCTTTTATTTTCTTTTTTTAATGTTTTAGCTGTTGATGCCCCAAGGATGAAAGCAGCAAAAGATTGTGATAAAAGTGTTTCAGAACATTAGGGAATTGTGAATGTTGGCTGGCTTGGAGGGAATCTATTATTTACAATCTACTGTATCAAATTCAGCTTCCACCAAATTAGAAGCTGATTTTTGTCATTGTCCTTTTTTAATCTAGCCCTTTGGTTAACTCAGGAGAAGCAGCTCCATAAATCACGTGGACATCTATGGATTTTTTTTTTTTCCTCGCCTGCCAGCCATTGCTAGGACTAAATGTTCATCTCCCAGTGATTCTTATCAACCAGGACACTAATAATAACATTTCTGTTCTGGGCTTGACTTTTTCTCTGCCAGGAGGAAAAACTGAAAACTATCTTTGTAATGTGCCTTGCAAAACATTTTTAGGGAGTAAAATAACAACGCACAGGAATATTTGACTTAAGGTGCTTGGATTTCAACCAGTGTGGTTAAACAAACTTATCATGGCTTGTTTCATGATTATCAAGGACTATGGCATGGGAATGTGGGGTGAATACTGAATACTTTCCTGCTTTTTTTTAGTCAGAACTTCACCATGCATATGCGCATCATTGTTTTTCTTTTGAAGATGGAGAAACTGAGGTAAACAATAGCAAAATTGCCCATCAAACCAGGGGCAGATCAGGAAACTCAGTCTCTCATGTCACTATTCAGCCAAGTAAAACCCTTTTTTAATTTGCTGTCTATAAGCACGAGGCTTCTGTGCCCTCATCTTTCCTTCAGCATTAACACAGAGCTCTGGCTTTACTGGATCTTGGAACCAGCTCACTTTGCCATCCCAAGAATGATCACTGTAGTCTTGATCTCGTAGACAAGAGGATAGGCAGGTTCCCTCACCAGTGCCTGGGAAGATGTCTCTCTTAAAAGCCCCTGAGAGTGGGCTGTATAGAAACACAAAGGAGACAAGTTGGTACGAGGGAGGGACCTACATGCCGGGGGTCACAAGGTAGACTTGAACTGGTTTTGCTTTACCTCACCCTCTCTCTGTCTGATTGCAGCCTTTTATCTAACTGTCTGCCTTCTCTCTCTCTCTCTTTGTCTCTCTCCTCACCCCCCAGGTCGGTGGCCGGTTTGGATAAAGAACCTGACCTCGTGCACATGGAAGCCCGGACAGCTGATGGATGTAAGTGCCTGCAGCCAATGCTGAAAAAGTGGGCTTTCAATCACGAAGGGAGTGGGAATGGAAATTCACTTTGCTCATTTTGTCTTCCCATTTACATTTTAATTGGTAGGAAAGATGTGGGTCATGGGGTTTGGTGGGAGGCATACTCTTATCCTTAGCCCTTGGGGGGAAATTCAGAGGCTGCAGGGCTTGTGTCTGTCAAGAGGCTGGGCAGAAACACAGACTGTTGGGCTAAGGAGCTGCCTATTCTTTTCCTTGTTTAGCTGTTTCAGTATCATATATTCCATGAATCACAAAGAGCTGGGCTACTAGCACCGCACAGTACAGCCTATGTGCATTTCCAGGTGTTTAGAACAGCTAGGATGTACCTGGAAACCTGAGAAATTGCCTATAGTCAGTCTTCTCCTCTGGTCTCTATGCCCTGGGTACCCTTTGTCTCATATTGAAAGGATTTTTCAGCTTTGCTTATGATCTATGAGTAGGTGCTCCATACCAAAACAACATAGGCCTTGTAAAGGTGCCTGGATCTGAAGTAAGAGATAGAAAAAAAAAAACAAACAAATTCTTAACATGTCATTGAAATGAATCTAACAACACTTGCAGTAGGATGGATTTGTGTGTAATTAACCTCCATCAAAGAAGACAACAAGTATTGGAAGTAAGTTGACTTTTTCCACCGCTCTCTCGGACATGTTTTAGGTATTTCACAGGGGAACTACAGCTGCTGGGCTGGAGCCGGCTTTACTCCAGCTCAGTGCTACACAGCAATGGGACATGTGCCCCTTTTACACTACAATGACTGTGTAGAAGAGTGGCATAGGACTGAGGCTATAGGGGATTTCTGGGAGGAGATGGCCTCATTTTTTGTTTATTGCAAACTTTTCCCTCTTCTAGTCAAGCACTGTGTAGGCCAGATGCTGTGCGAACAAGCTCCTGTCTGTCAGGGTGGCTTTTCTGAGGCTGTGGATCTTCTAAAATCAGTCATTGGCCTCCCACTGCTATTTAGTGATGGCACCTGAATAAATAACCAGGCAACAAAAGCTCAAGGGTGACAGCTGTTTGTTGAATATGTGGGAAAAGCAAAACAGGTCGTCAGGTGGGTGGGCAAGGTAGGGAGGCTTCTTCAGTGCCTCTGCTGCTGTGTGTGCTGCTGCAGGGACACTGGGAGAAGTGGCCAAAAGCAAGTAAAAAGAGCAAGCAAGCAAGTAAGCAAACAAACTGCTGATCGAGTCTGTTTTCAAGCTAAGATTAAACTTGCTCACCCAGCTATTTGAATATTGGATGTGTCAAGGCTGTAGGTGCTTCATTTGAAAGATGTCTCCCCAGTTTGCAGACAGCTCTCTTCCTTCAGGTCTTGTTTGCTTGGGGGTTTACTGTTCGTTCTTGTTTTAATATATAAATTCAGCATTTTGAAATTGGCAGTTGGTGGTATTGAGGGTTTCACTGAAAGTCAGACTTAAACTAGTAGTGTCAGCAAAGCACGCCCCTGGCAAGCCATTGTCCCAGCAGACAGCAAGCACAGGCGAGACCCAGCAGGCTGTGCTGGCCCTGCTGGGGTGTCCTGCTTGGGGGACAGCACCAGAATGACTCCTCTCCCAGCCAAGCATAGCACAAAAGAACCATGTTGCTCTAATTAGAGTTTTTAAGGCTTAAAACGATATTAGTTTGTGTTACTAAACATCGACTACCTCAAAGCTATAGCCTCACCTGGTGTGAAATAGTACAGCTCTGTGTACTTAGGAATGGGAAGCTGAACTTTTCTTCTAGTTGGCTTTGTAAAACAAATGGGCGTTCATGTTCTCACTGAAATGGCTGAGGCACTTAGACCTGCTGGAAAAATGGGTCTCTGCAGTTATTTCCTCTTGTTCAGAAAGTTTCTGATGAAAGTTTTTCTCAAGCCAAGAAGGAGGCATTTTTAATGCCTCTTAGGTCAGTCTGGTGACTGTCACTTATCTGATGCATTAACAGAGACATTTGAGTGTTCCCATTGCTCAGCTGAGTTCAGAGACAAGAATACATGCCTTCAATGTCCCTGGCCACTTTAAAAGTACGTGGTTCTTTTAGAGGGGGTATTTGTCTTTCCCCTTCTGTTTTCTTCCATGCTTTTTATTTAAAAAATAAAAAAAAAAAAGTGTGTGTGGGAAATGGTGTTTTGCATTAGACTTCTGAACTTGATGGGTTTTTTTTTCTTTTGAGAGTAGTGAGAGTCAAGAACTTACCTAATACTGATTCAGATACTAAGGCCTAAAATAAGTTCTGTGTCTGGGAACAGGCGGTGGGGCATGCTGGAGTCTCATTCATCCATAAATGAGACAGGGCTATCAGGAAGCTTATGGAGCTGGGAGGCAGCAGTCTTGTTCACTGCTCTGTCTGTCCTCCAAGACATCTCGCCCCATGCATTCTCTCTGCCTGGTCATTAGGAGTGGTAGGGTCTCTGAAAAAACATCTGCCACAGTGTCTCATCTCCTTAAATATTTGCGAGATGTTACTAATTCCTGTGCCTAGCTGACCTCAAGCTGTTTCTGTCTTTTGCAGCAGATAAAGTTTTTCATGTTTTTTTGACATCTTGGCAGAGCTGTTGTACCAGAATAATAAAATAGGCTTGCATTTTTTAATTATAAAAAGATCTAGGAGCCTTGTGCACCATACCTTCTGCCTGGGTGTAACAGAGAACAGCAAGGACAGGGTTGGATGCAAGGGAACTATTACAGATATACTCACACAAGCGCCCATCAGCACTCCTGGGAAAGATACATTAAACTTCTTGGTGTTCAGTGAGGTAATATTCTCCTCACTCACAGATATGATGCAATAAACAGTATTTTAATTAAAGGCAAAAAGGGGGGGGGGAGAGAGAGGGAACCTAACCAGAAACATAAAACTGGGTAACTAGTTCCTGGGGAATAATTTACAGTTCTGCCAACATTCCTACATCTTCCTTTCCTTTGGGGGAAAAATTGTTGAGGCCAGATAGTTTTGGGTTTTTTTTGTTTTCCCCCCTCCTCTGGTAACCTTCACTGGCAGTTTATGATTTTAAGTCTTGCCTGGCACCAGGACCTGACTTAAGCTGAGCCAGTCTGCCAATGCAGCTTGTTTCCATCAGCTGCCCTTCTCTCTGTTACACATGCTGGCTGGCTGTGCCTGCTGTTAGCTGCCTTGTTAATGCTGCCAGAGAGGAGCAGACCTTGCTGTCCTGTGTCTCTGTAAGTCCCAGTAACCTGCACAGAGGTCTGCCCATTGCAGCTTTCAGCACGGTGACAGGTTTGACTGTTTCGGTGTCTCCCTTCAGGGATGCACACCTTTGGGTGTTTCTCACCATAGAGAGCCTCCTGTGCTCCTGCTTCCTGTCAAAGCTGTTGTGACTTAGTAGCTTGGCTTATTTCACCAGTCTACCGCTGCAAATTTCAATAAATTGTTTCAGTTTTATAACTTCTAAAAAGGGTAAAAGTAAACTTCCAAATTCTCAAGATGAGAAGCTATGTTAATTGGCAATGGGGAAGTGTTTCAGATCCTCAACTGGAAAATGGCTGCACATCTGAGGAAGCAATTCCCTAACATGAAGTGAGACAAGTTGGTGGCAAGGGGTTGTGCGGAGGTGTGGATACTGGGATTTGAGCTGCACCAAATCCTCCAGGCTGCTTGACGTCTATATTGCCTCATTCACAGATGGGCTGAGAGAGTAGCTTCATGTTGGGTTATAAGCGTGAGTCTTTGAGTCTGTTTAGGAAATAGGGAGCTCTTCTCAACTCCTTTTGCAGTTGAACATAATAAAAAATCCAAACCAAACCAAAACACCCAGACTCTCTAATTCTTGTGTTGCATGGGATGATATATAAATTGGAAATAATGTCCAGATGGAAGCCAACCTTCCCTTAAGGCATACATCTCCAGTGAAAGGTAAGCAAGGCTTTAAAGGCATAGCTTGGGCATTTGCCACCTACCCCTCTTTGCAGCTGTCCTTTTTCCTGTGGCTGTGCAAAACAGGGCTCAAAAATTAACTCCTTTCAGAGAAGAGGGAGATAACAGCTTGGAAGTTATGATGCGCCCTTCCCTCTTAGCTGACATTTTTGTTGAGAGGCCCTGTAGATTCTATATAGGGAAAG